GAGCCAACAATGTGTGCTTGCAGCCCAGAAAGCCAAGCGAATCCTCAGCTGCATCAAAAGAAGCGTGGCCAGCAGGTCAAGGGAGGTGATTTTGCCCCTCTGCTCTGCTCTGATGAGACCTCACCTGGATCACTGTGTCCAGCTCTGGAGCCCTCAGTACAAGAAGGACATGGACCTGTTGGAGCGGGTCCAGAGGAGGGACACAAAAATGATCTGAGGGTTGGAGCACCTCTCCTACAAGGACAGGCTGAGAGAGTTGGGGTTGTTCAGCCTGGAGAAGAGAAGGCTGCGGGGAGACCTGATTGTGGCCTTTCAGTACTTAAAGGGGGCCTGTAGGAAAGATGGGGACAATCTTTTTAACAAGGCCTGTTGTGACAGGACAAGGAGTAATGGTTTTAAACTAAAGGAGGGTAGATTTAGACTGGATAGAAGGAAGAAATTTTTACGTTGAGGGTGGTGAAGCACTGGAACAGGTTGCCCAGAGAGGCAGTGGAGGCCCCATCCCTGGAAACATTCAAGGTCAGGTTGGATGGGGCTCTGAGCAACCTGATCTGGTTAAAGCTGTCCCTGCTCACTGCAGGGGGGTTGGGCTAGATGACCTCTAAAGGTCCCTTCCAACCCAAAGCATTCTGTGATTCTATGATTCTTACGCATAGTCCATAATGGTATTTCTAGGTACTTTAACTGGACTACAGTCATTTAGTATATTAGCATAGTCTGTATGCCTATGTCCTCACATATGGGCATTTTAATCTACTAATTTTCCTTTATGAATCAGGAACAATTCTACCCTCTACTTAAAAACAAGTAAAGACTTCAAGCTCTCAGAATGTAATAACAGGGCCCTGTATGGTGATAAATGAGAGAGTTACTACCAGTTCCATAGAAAATACAATGCCATTTTCTAGAGTAATGTCATCCAATGAAGCTTTTCATTGCATCTTGGTCATAGTCACCAAACAAGTCTCAAGTAGAATCTGTTACACACTGCAGGACACATCAAGACTCAACTGCTTGAGTCTGCTACACAGTATCACATTTAAAAAAAAAAAAAAATCTACATGGTGGGGTAGCAGGCTTCATATTACACGGCCATTACTTACTGAAAATTCTGAATAAATGCATAGCCACATCTTTTTTTCCTTTTGTTTCTTAGAATAATTGCTAGCTACGACTTAATACTCCGTTTTTATCTCTTGGAAAAGAACGATTAGTAAGCCTCTTTAGCCATGATTTCATACTTTGAGAATAGATGAAATAGTGATAGTAGACTGACACATGAGCCTAGCTCCTCTCTTGAACACATGAGCAAACTTCCAGACCAACTTCTGGGAATGACAACTTTCCTTCTAGGTGCCAAATGGAAGCTTTAAAGTACTTCTAATGATAAGAAGTTTAATTGTGTTGATTTCTGTTCATAAAGGAGAAGGGCTTCCCAGTGCACTACATAAAGACAACAAAAACTATTACAGAAGGACTACAACAACATTCTTAATATTTAAAATGTCTTGGAGAGCTACAGCATGTGTATGATGCAGTCTAAATGGGTACTATCAAAGCAGTAAGCGCTTTAAACTTCTAACATTTCTGTTCTCACTAAGTACTTGCTCCTCCAGGTAATAGACTCACAGGATAGCTGAGGTTGGGCAGCACCTCTGGAGACTGCCTAAGTCCAATCCCTCAGCTCAGAGCAGGGTCAGCAAGAGCAGACTGCTAAGGGTCATATCCAGTTGGGTTCTGAGTATCTCCAAGGATGGAGACATACAAGCTACCCAAGCTCTGAGCGCAACCTGTTCCACTGTTTGACCAACCTTGCAAAAAAGGGTTTTTTTATTACATTTAAATGGAATTTTCTGTATTTCAGTTTGTGACCATTTCCCTTCAGTGGCCACCACTGAGAAAAGCCTGGCTCCATCTTCTTCATTCCCCCCGTCAGGTATTTATACACATTGATAACATTTGCCCTGAGCCTTCTCTTCTTGAGAAGCCCCAGCTCTCTTGGCCTCTCCTTGTACAACAGATGCTCCAGTCCCTCAGCCATCTTTGTGGTCTTCTGCTGGATTCATTTCAATACGTCCATACCTTTCTAGTACTAAGGAGGCCAGAACTAGACAATACTCCAGATGTGGTTTCACCAGTGCTGCCTTAAATCTAAAGTTGTCAACCTTTAAATATTACTTTATCTGAAATTCTTCATCCTCTCTCATATTTCAGTTATTAGAGATAAAAAACAACACAGCTTTACCACTTTTTATACACAGATTATCAGCCACTCAAATGTTTAGAAAACTACTTTTTACCTTCTAAAAACATACAAAAGCAAATTTTATCCTAATCCTTTGAGCAAAAATACAGACTAACTGAAGAGTGGGCAAATAAGCCAGCTATCTACAGATCCTCCAAGAGTAAGGAGGATTTAACCACAACAATAAATCAGAAAAAACAAAGTCACATTTCTCTAATCTGGTCAATTATACCAGTACTATTTAGAGATACCTAATAAAATAACAAACTGACTTCTTTTATTGGAGCTTAATAAATAATTCTTCCTAAAAGAGAAAGAAAGAAACAACACAAAGCATGTACAAATCATCAGTGAGTCTAAAAATGGTCATGAGATTGTCTTAGTCATAACATTTTATTAGAAATATTGGGGGGGGATTTGTGACTTTTGGTGTCTAGGACTCATGTTTTCAAATGTGTAATATCAAGGAAGGCTGTAAACTTATTGTAAAAATTAGATACTCTTACAGCTTTGTGTTCTTAAGAGTTGAAACTTTAAGAAAAAACAAACACAGGTATCTCAAAACTCATAAAATTAGTTAGACACACTGGAAAACTTAACAAGATATGGAACACTGTAACTGAAAGAAAGGCCAAGATGCAATAGCAACAGTTTTTAACTTACATTTGAGTGTTTCTCCAGCATAAGGGATATGTAGCTTAAATCGATCACAGCTAGGTCCAGGGGTCAAGGATGTACAGCTAAAAATGAAGATAAGAGAAGAACATGATAAGCAGTTGCAGATGGTAGCAGACGCTAACATTGTTCTACAGGGTACAAATGACTGACATAGTAAAGATGCTGTGAATATTAGAAATACTCATCCTTACAATTCTGGGAAAGAGGAAAAGGTGGGAAAGATGCAGGAGGCCTGCTCTCTTTTGATCAGCAGTTCTCACAACAGCATGAGAAACTTTAGTATCTGTGCCAACAATCTTCTTTCACATTTTAACACAGAAAATATACACATAAAATGCCCTGGTTTGAGAGATTTATTGGAATAATATCCATTAGTCAAAGCCATCAAACTCTCTACTTTATGTACAATTTTTCAGGTCACAATTCTCTACCTATGCCACAGTAACATGGTTACATGCTCCCTATCCCAGCCATCCAGATACCTGGGACAAATCTTAGTTTTAATACATCAACATTCAGTCATTTCTATTTTAACCTTTAATTTTTCTCTTGCAGAAAAGTCTCACAGTAAGCCTGCAGGTGAGAACGTTTCAGAATCAGGTATTTGACGTTATGACAACTGAGCATGTAAGTTCATGACCTGTGACCATTTCATATGTCCTGTTTATCCGGAACACTGCAACGGCAGTTGGGTCTCGTGGTGAGGAGCAAGCATTTTATGAACACAAATGTCACTGAAAAACTGTTTAATGTCTAGGCCAGAGAAGATCAAGTTTTTCACACCTAAGTCATGTATGAAAATGTTTGCCTAACAAAGAACCAAATATCTCAGCTGCAAAAGGAGAAACAGTGACACAAGTTTTTTTCACTGGCAGGAACAGTCCCTGGAGCTCTCACCACTGTGGGCTGGTGGGCATATGACAGGTCTCAGTAGCAAAAATACTGGAAGCCCTTAGCAGTTCATTGCTTTCCATATCTAGGGATTCAGATAACCCAGAGGTCTTCTTGCCATCTTAGTATCATTGAGAATTGTTTTCAGCCCCAGCACGAAGAGCTACGCTTGTAGCAAGCTACTTAAAGCTCAAAGCTAAAGATCAACTCTAGAAAAACAGTGAAAAGAAGGTAGACAAAGGTAAAATAACTTGCCTAAGTTCATATATCAGATCACTGGTAGAGCTCTAATACAATTCACTGACAATATAATGAAACAAAAGACATATTTACTGGGCCATACACACAGCCAGAAGCAAAAAGATGGGTAGGCCAGGAAGTACAAGAATTCTGACCCTACCTTATCAGATACAACAGAGTAACTCCTGCAGCTCTATCTGTCTTACCGCAGAAGAGGCATCAGGGCAAACGGGGCAATGTTAATTCTCACTAACACTCAAAATGCTTCAGAGAGTCATTTCTCTCAGGTGCAGGCTCTACAGTCTCTTTTCTCTTTACACTTGCAAGTTAAGGAAACCACGTGCACTAGCCTCAGATTGTTTTTATTCAGTGAGATACATTTACTACTTAATCAAATCTGTGCCCACACGTAGCTTTATCAAAAAGAAGCAACCACAGAACTACAGATCAATCAATTTGAATGAAGTTTCCACAAACATATCAGAAAACATAAGCAAACCAGTTGTGTGCGCCTAGAATGTAACACAGATACAATTAACAGCCGACATTGATTCAACAAGAATACACTACATTTTTTTCCAGTATCATTACAGAAATTAGATAACTGTTTTTGCAAATAAAAGGGAAGCAACAGATGTCCTGTCTTCACTTTAGAAAGGTTTTTGCAATGTCTTGAGAGAGCACCATGCAAAACAAACTATAGAAACATAATTTAGATACAACTACTATCAGATGTGAGCAGGGCTGACTGGAAAGCAAGTTTCAGAAAAGATTAGTTCTCATCTTGCTTCATCCAGGAAGAACACACTGACTGGGTTCTCTTCTGGTAGAATACTACTTTGCATTTCATTGAAAGACTGATGATGGAAAAGAGATGATGTTTATTAAACCTGCCAATGATGCTAACATGAAAGTGAATGCAGCATACTGGATGACAGCACCAGAGCTGAAAAATGTTTTGATTTAATGGTCTGGACTACTTCTTTTTTAGTTACATCTAGGTAGGGCTTAGCAAGGACAGTAAGCCTCACCACCCTCACTGGGAGTAAAATCAGTTTGAGAATATGAAAGATTGTAGCTCCAGTGCAACAGAAACAAAAGAATATAATTTATTCAAAGATGCGGGTTCTTTAGTAGGTGAGAACAACAAAACAGAGTGCCCATTGTTAGGGTGTTTTAATGGCTGGGAATGAATTTTAACAGCTATAGGTATGAGAGCATTATTACCTACTTTAAAGTAATTTCTAAGGCTTACATCACATAAGGCCAGTTCTAGGAAGTATACAAAAAAACCCTAACACACAAAAAATCCTTTGCAAGTTCCAAAATATCTCTGCAACATCAGTTAATATTTAATGGAAGCTTCTTTTGAAGTATCACAGGTTACAGTCTGAGGCAATTTTTTCAAATACCATCAAAATAACATTGTTGTTAGCTTTTCAACAGACACAAAAATTTCTGATCCTGCAAATACCCTACAATCTTTTCTTTTAGCACAATAGGCCATTTGGATATACTTAGAGAAAGTAAAATATTCTTTAACATTAAAATAAAAGCCTCATTTAATGGTAAATGTCCCTAAAAGCAACACTAAGTATTTTTCCTATATTATTATACTCCACTAGAGATGTTTTTAATTTTATTGGTCTAGAAGTGATGGAAAGTGACAGCATTCACAGTTTGTCTGTTCTGTTTTTTTTTTTTTTTTTTTCCAAATTACTCTGGCTAGGCTGTGCAAGAGACTTCAATAACCGCAATAGGCTGAGCAACCAAGCAAAAATCTTACATACGTCCATTTGAAAGGAGGCAGTTACTTTTCAGTAAAAACAGTAAAAGAACAAAACTCCTAAGGCAAATCAAAACTTTGGTAAATCTAGCAGTCTATGTGTGACCTTATTTCAACAGAAAGCCACAGATAATGGCCTGGCTATGGACATCTTCTCCTGCTTGAATTCCCTTAACACATAGAACTGCTCATAATTACAAATGTGCCCAGCCCAGAAGCTTGGCCTCTATCCTGTTCAAAATGTAAGATTTTACATTTGCTGATCCTTTTACTTAATGTGGTCCACATGAAAGTCACACTGAAAAGGAATGACTTGTAACAAGATCTTTTAAAGATTATTTGTTGTCCTGTCTTCACAGGGAATTGACAGATAGAACACTAATATCTGGTGTTGAAAATTAATTTCAGAAGCTGACTCCATCTCATGATGAATAGATGTGCTACCTCCCTCTTTATTCACTGAAAAATATTACGCTGGTTTGCATATCTTCATCTAAATAGTCAATATTTTACATAGGAAAGCCATGGAAGCAAGAATTAATGCTCTGATGCTCAGAGCAGTGATATGAATTAGTCTTCATAAGATGATTAATGCTATATCATGAGATATAGCAACAAAACGAGATATAGCAACAAAATCACAACAAAAACCACAAAGGTTTCCCTCCTAAAATATCAAAGAATCAGCAACTTGACAAGTTTCGGGGACAAAGGAATACGCTTGAATGTATTGCTTAAAACCATGCTGCCCTATTCAAAGGAGCTGTGCTGAGACCTCTAGTTGGAATCTGGTAGATGGAACCAAATATACAAGAAACCCCACCTGCTGAGAAAGAGAAGAGTTTGTATTCAGCTTTTAGCTAAGTTGCTTGAGCAAACACAGCAGATGAAACTTGATTTGAGGTACATTACATCCTTATAAAATACGTATTGCAAGTAGGAGACAAGTAGAACATTCCCCTACTGAGTGATGCATCTTGCAGTTGGGAGGATTGTCTGTGACCTCTTATGAAAAGGTTTCTTTCACAGTAAATAAAACACACATGAACTAAACCAGTTCTTGTTTGAAGAAAAAGTTACTATCAGCACCAGATACTTAGTGTAGAAGTGCTCAGAATTCTTTACCAGCCACAAAAGGAAACAGGAAAGACTATCCAAGAGAAAAAAAGAAAGAAAAAGAAAGGAAGAGAAAGGAAAAGAAAGGAGGGAGAGAAAGGAGGGAGAGAAAGGAGGGAGAGAAAGGAGGGAGAGAAAGGAGGGAGAGAAAGGAGGGAGAGAAAGGAGGGAGAGAAAGGGAGCGAGAAAGGAGGGAGAGAAAGGGAGCGAGAAAGGGAGCGAGAAAGGGAGCGAGAAAGGGAGCGAGAGAAAGAGGGAGCGAGAGAAAGAGGGAGCGAGAGAAAGAGAGAGAGAGAGAAAGAGAGAGAGACCGAGAGAGAAAGAGCGAAAGAGCGAGAAAGAGAGAGGAAGAGAGAGGAAGAGAGAGAAAGAGAGAGAAAGAGAGAGAAAGAGAGAGAAAGAGAGAGAAAGAGAGAGAAAGAGAGAGAAAGAGAGATAAAAAGAGAGATAAAAAGAGAGATAAAAAGAGAGATAAAAAGAGAGATAAAAAGAGAGATAAAAAGAGAGATAAAAAGAGAGATAAAAAGAGAGAGAAAAAGAGAGAGAAAAAGAGAGAGAAAAAGAGAGAGAAAGAGAAAGAGAAAGAGAAAGAGAGAAAGAGAAAGAGAGAAAGAGAGAGAAAGAGAGAGAAAGAGAGAGAAAGAGAGAAAGAGAGAAAGAGAGAGAGAGAGAGAATAAAAAGAGAGATAAAAAGAGAGATAAAAAGAGAGATAAAAAGAGAGATAAAAAGAGAGATAAAAAGAGAGATAAAAAGAGAGATAAAAAGAGAGAGAAAAAGAGAGAGAAAAAGAGAGAGAAAAAGAGAGAGAAAGAGAAAGAGAAAGAGAAAGAGAGAAAGAGAAAGAGAGAAAGAGAAAAAGAGAGAGAGAGAGAGAGAGAGAGAAATCAGAAGTCACTCAGTTTTGCTGCTTGGAACAAAGCATCATCCTATAATGACAGGTATAGTAGAAGGTATTTTTCTGCAAAATCAGTACTTCTTCCCAGAGTATTCTAAAAGCATCTAGAAAGGCAGTTCTAGCTGAGCTTCACATTAAGGTTGTCTCTTATACCAATGTATTTCTAATAACTCTATTTATAACTTCTTCTGTTTTGTTTAAGTTTAAAAAAAAAAAATTCCTTTTCCTTCTGAGCCACTTTGATATTTTACAGGATTGAAGCCATGATGTTGAGGACTGTGATAGACCTAGATATCAACATGATCTTCCTATCAACCAGTTTTCTACAACCATCACTTGACAATATTCCCAAGACAAGCCGTTTTAAATTATCTGGGCTCTCGTAAAATCTTATCCAAAAAGAACTTCTGTGTCAGCTGAAGGGGTCACAACAAACAAAGATCTCAACTGTTTATCACCTTAATCCTTAAAGTCTGGAGATGAGTGATTATTCTATCCAAAGAATTAAAAAAAAAAAACAAACAAACAAACAACAAAACCCAAAAACCCACAAACCCAAACCTACCAACTCTGCCTCCGATACCCACCTCTTTATATCCCAAAATTCCAGCTTGAGGCTCATTTTTTATACCATCCCTAAAAATCTGCTGCTTAGAACCATATAAATCCATAGCAAACATCCAGAAATGCCAACAGAAGTACAATAGCTCTACTGAAAAATATACCACCTCTGTTTTATTTCTTCTTTTTTAATTGGTGGTAAAGGTGTATGTCCCAATATTCATGTTGGATTTATTTGATTACTATCAAATTTATCAATTAGAAAAGGTATGCAATGTGTTTATTCATTCAAGTTTTTCTTAGATCCTACAGAATCTTTACCACCTTTTCTATCTGCAGACAAGTCATCAGTGAATTTTACTGTACAATAGTAAAGAAAAATGAGACCAAGAATTTTAGTCACTGTGATTTCAACAACTTAATATAACCTAACCTGAATAGCCAGAGATACAAAAGCTTCTTTAATCTTACGATGCTTAGGCTGCTACACTTGCTGTTCTTGAGGATCAGTACTTTTTGGATAACAGACAACTTTTTTTGTTCATCAGGCTGTTGATGTAAAAGCCAAGGAAGTTTCACACAGCATTAGAGATACCCTGATGGAAAACACTGCTAAAAAACAACACACACACAAATAAAAAGAGCAACACCACAAAGGAAATTCTGACTACTGGCTATATTCCCAACCCTTCCCAGCTCTAATAAACCTAGTATATGTTTCTAATTGCTCCTATATATGTCATATAAAGATCCTGTTAAGGAAAAAGGAGGTCAAGTTCCTTTCATAATACAAGAGGCTAAAGACACGATTCAGTCAGGGATTTAGAGGCCGAAGCTTTTGTTAGCAAGAGTCAAATTTAATTCAGAGGCAAAGACAGATAAATCCCTTGTTACTAGTAAGAGGCAGAAAACTCAAAACTCCACCCAAAACTCTTATTGTGGCATCTGCTAAGAAAAACACCTTAGTGTTAAACTCCAGTAGAACAGCCTTTGTTGATGCCTTTAGATTCTTCTTTCCTCCCATTTTTGTAGATGGAAATTGCTCCAGTGTTCCTTGAAGACACAATATTTCATCCCATTTAATCAAGAATTAATTGCAGAATTCACAACAGATGTGTAAGTCATCTACAGAGGCATTAAGAACAATTAGAGTGTATAGAGGGGGGAGGAGAGTGCAAGGAAAGCCAGCAGGTAACAGGTTTTTTGCAAGGATCAGGAAACAAAAATGGTGCAAATCACATTTTAGAGAGCTGACACTGATGGTGAAAACCTGTATCATACTGCAGCTCCCTGCAACAGTGCACAAAGCTTTACAGGCTCCCAGAGGCCTGCAAATACACAAGAAGCGCTCTGAGCAGCTGCTGCTGAAAACCAACAGATCCAACCAAAATTCTGTCAATCAGGCAAAATTTGAAATGGGAGAGATAGTCTAGTCAACCAATTTTCATCTTCAGTTCCCCTTCTTTATAGAGACATATGTATTACATATATGAAAGAGAGGGACTGCCACTTAAAAGATAAAGACACACACCACTGCTTTTGGGAAATAAAAATCCAGTTAGAGTGATTGCTTCTTACACACATATTTTAATTAAAACATTAAAATCAGAAGACAAATTCATAATTATTCCAAAGAACTTTCTTATAGATAAACCCACTGTTTTCATAAAACTCATTTGTACCCTAGCTGGTTTCTTCAAACTTATTATAAAATTAAACTAAACACAAAGACTACTTTTGGTATTGCAATACAGATGAAGATGTTGGTTTTGATTCCTGTTAGTATGGATGATATTCTATAATTGCAACAGCATTTCAATCCATAGTTATCAACTGGGAAACTCCAAGGTGTCTCCAGATATGTCAACTATATTCCCAACAAAACCTTCATCTACTCTTAAGTGCTGATTTTCCTATACATACTTATTTATCTTTTCTTGTATGAAGTTCATTGTACTAACTGGAACTTTTAGAAAGGAATGGGATGCTAGGTGGAACACCTACCCTAGGAAAGCAACCCCTCACTTTCCTTCTGCACCCATAGGCAGATTTGCATTTTTTAAAAAGTAAAGTTCAAATAACTATTTAAAATTATATCAGCTGCCAGTAACCTGCTTTCACTTGAAACACTACACAAAAGTATCTAATGACTACTGTAATTAGTAAAACAAATACAGCAGCTGTATCTTCACAGAAAATGTCGATTTCCTTAACATGAGTGAGAGTTTGCCAAAGCAGATGTTGCAGGTGGGGAGAGCTCTGGGCCTGCCTCTGGAACTGCAAATCTCCTGCAC